TGTCATGCTGGCCTTTGGCTCAACAGGTAGCTAGTATGTAGACATCCATAAATACCATGGGACAAATAAATGTTCTAAGGCTTGGTACCAGTAGACCATACAGTTTATTTTCTCAGCCTTGCTCAAAGATAAAGAAATTATATATCTAACATTTGGGAAAAGAAGAATGAGTACTCAACTGTTTTAGTTTTTAAATAAGAATGGTCTTAAAAAATATTTTAAACACACAACTAAAGATAAAGAAAAAAAAACAAAAACAAACCTGTCTTATCTAAGGCAACCAGCAGGGTTAATATTATAAAGATTAAATTAGATACCTGTGACTGGCACCCAGGGCCTGATTTTTTCCCAAGCGTTCAATGAATAGCAATTGTTAGCACTACTTCTGCAAACAATAACTGATCACTATAATAATGGTAGTTAAGTTTAGAAATATGTCAGAACATTATCCACCTAAATCAAATATACCATTTTCCAACCATTTCTCTGCTCCCCTGTAGGGAATTCTTCAAGAAATTTGCACATAACTACTGTCCTAACTTCCCCTCCTTTCATCCTCTTTTGAATCCATGACATTCAGGGTTTAAACCCCACCAAATTAAACTCATTAAGGGCACCAAGCAACTCCAGGTTTCCAGACCTAGTCTTTCTCAGGTCTCGCCTCACTGTCCTGCGGGCAGGATTTGCCACTGTTGCTTGTTGCTTCCTGTGCCTAGCTGGCTTCCAGTCCACCCAGCCCTCTGGCTCTGCTTTCTCCTTCCTCTCAGACTGCTGAGCTCACTCCTTTTTATTTTCCTTTCTTCTACATGCTGGCATGTCCCCAGGGTTGGTCTTTTCATCACCATCTACAGTTCTTCCTAGTTCTTCCTTTGATAGAGTCATCCAGGCCCTTGGCTTTTGAGGCATTTGATTTTTTGAGGGGGCTGTGGTTGGAGGGTTATGACCTTTCTTGATCTTTCTACCACAATGGAAATAATGTGTGAACAAAACCAAATGTTTGTTTCTATAACTTCTGCATCACGATTAAAATTCAAAAAGCTTTTTAAAACTCAATCAAAACCCACTACTTCAGTATCAGTAATTTCTTTGAAGCCACAGTAACACTTAAATATGGTTAAGACTTGAAGGCAGAAATTTGGCTGGTTGCAAAATTAATTAAGCTTTCAATTTGCTCCAATAGAATTACATAAAAGGCAAAGTTGTATTTATCATAGAGCAACAGGCAACTGGGATCACTGTTAGAATATATAGTCATGACATAATAAGGAAAGCGGCCATCCTTCAGTCTTCTGTGTGGAATGACACGGCCACCAACAACTGTAGCCTTGATGACAGAGTCCAATTCTTCATGTCCATGAATAGTCAGTTGCAAGTAACCAGGGTGATACTCTTTACCTTTAAATCCATGGGTGCATTTCCTGCCAATTCAAGTACCTCAGTGCTAAGTTTACAGCACCCACAGCCACATGGCCACAGCTGGTGGTCCTGAACTTCAGGGTCAGTGAATACAGCCCACTAGGGACAGCAAGCAGGCTCTCTGTAGGCAGGAAACAGCCTTTGACTTGGCCTTCCTGGTGCCAGGCATCTCAAATTCCACTAAAGCTCAATCAAGCAAGGCAGAAAAAGGGTTGGTTGCAAAGGAAGAGACAAACTGTTCTTTTGAGGTATTTTACACTAATGTAGAATACCAATTAATGCCAAATACCCCCTTGAATTCCAGACTTGTACATCCATTCGCTGACTTGATAGCACCAGGTTCAGAACTGAACTCTTCATTCTAACCATCATCCCTCCAACAAATAATGTAGGATTTCAAGTTAGTGGAAAAAGCAAAACTTTAAAACAGAATTAAAGTATGAACTTGAAGTAAGGCAGATTTCTTTAAAACACATGAAAATTACAAAATATAAAGAAAACATGAATTCACTTACATGGAAATTAAGTACTTCTGTTCACCAAAAGATAGGAGAGTGAAACGGAAAGATAAAGACACAAAAGTAAATCTCAATGGTTTACAGTGCAGTTATCCAACAAAGGACTTGTGACAGACTGCGAAGCTATTTGTGTTACATGTATTTGAGAAAGGATTTATAACCAGAATATAGCAAGAAAACTAAAGTGACAAGTGAATTTTTTTAATGGCAAAAGCACTTCACAAAACGAGTTCCAATAAGCACTAAGCAAATGAAAAGGAACTCAATTATTTGTCCTCAAGTAGATGCATATTAAAGCCACAGGGAGCTAAGATTGCATCTATCAGGGTAAGAAAATACCAGCGTTAGCATGAATAAGAAGCCAGGGGAATCTTCCTACATACTTTGCTGGTGGAAGAGTGCATGAGCTGAGGGTATGAATACAACCAAACTCCAAAGAATAAAAATAGATGATAACAGTCATCCCCTATGATAAAAATATCGAAATGGACAAGAACAGTCCCAAGAAAATGTCCATTAGTAGGAGTGGTCTGATAAATAATAATTTGATTCATCACAGGCTAATCACTGCAAATAAGCTGGATTTTCAAAAGACAGACTCAAGTTTCTAGGATAATAAATAAAGGAGCTACTAATATCAAATTCATTAATAGTTAGGCAAATACAACTTAATATTGTTTATAAATAGTGGAATGAATATTGTGTGTATGTGTAATTACAAAATTATTTATTAAAACTGCTATTCTAATAAGCACTTTTCAAATTCTGTTCAGATTCTTTCACTTATGGAGGTTAATTGAGAAGGGAAAAGATGGTAAGATGTATATATATAAACAGGCAGCGAATGAAGGTGATTCTCTTCAGAGAATGTGTTACGATTACAGGTTAAATTATAAATGTGATATAAAGACTTTACAAGGTGATAAAAGGAAAAGACTTGTCTATGAAATTCATATCTTCTTAGCACCCTGTAGAGTGACCCAGAAATCTACAAGTAGATTGGTTTGCAAGCAGGTTCTTAAAATGTGAGCTCTAATGAAATTTTATACTGAAAGACTTCCAATGAAACTGGGAGAGGGGAAACTGCTGATGTGAAATGATTTTAAATGCTCTGCATTGTTCACATTGTATTGTGTGCATCCGAGACTGGTATTAACCAAAAGCAGACTGATTCTGCAGTGGAGATAAACTCCAGAAATGGGTTTAAAGTGCTCCAAATATAGAAGTTCAGAGATAACTAAATGAGAGGAATAAATTAACTTTCACAGGAGTCATGGCCAGCTTGTCTTTGAGTACCGAGGCCACACAGACCTTTAGTGGCCAGCTGGGACCTGGCCAGTGGGCTGGGCAGCCTCTGTTCTAACAGTCTACAGGGTTGTGTCTGCATCAGGATCACCCCTTCCCGATGATACTAATCTCAGCACTGATGTAATTTAAGTGTCTCACGCCTGTCACACAAAGTGGAAAGAACTAGAATGGCTGTGGAGTACTTTTAGTGCCTTGCTTGTGTGTATGGTAGTAACGCCCGTTAAGTCATAGATGTTGTCATGGACCAATGTTACATCAATAAAAGGTAAAGAAAGAAATGGGACTGACGTAAAAGGAGAAAGTGGGAGACTAGGGCCAATAACCACTGGAATCACAGAATATGTGGTTGTGCCTATGTTCGCCATTTCCCATGGCCAAGGCACCTGCACCCTGACAGAAATCGCTGATGAAGGTTGTGCGTTTATGTGTGTGAGCACTCATGCATATTCACATGGCTGTACCACCCTTAGTGGAAGTTACTAAATAAGGCAAGGTTGGATAAAACAGATGACTTAAAAACCAGCAAAACCCCTTTTTTGTGGATATAGTGTTATTGGGTATTCAGTGTTGAAATTGACAGTCACGTAATTTTAGTTTCTAGTCTGGTAAAGTAAAAATTTGGGAAGTGTTCCTATAAAATGTTGCTTTTTATCTAAATATGAGGACTTCAGGTTTTTACCTTCACTTCCAACGGAAGCAATTGATTTACCAAATGGTAACTGTTGCTTCTTTTAATTCTTATGACTTGGAAAGCTGGCTTTAAAAAAGTATTAACTTTGAGGTCCAAAGCATTATCATATATATGTAAGCTGAGAAAGTGCTACAGAAAGGAAGTACTTGGCAATATTTTTATTAGCTTTTGAATTTGGTGGGCATCAAAACCACCACCCAGATCCACTCAATAGAGTCTTACAGGGTGGGGGTTAGGTGTGAATCTTAAACAAATGTTTAATTATGGCATGAATGTAAACACTTGAGGACCATCAACAGAGAGGATTATTGCTGATTACAAATCAGACCATAAACTCAGATTCAAAAACTTCTCTCACTCTAGATTCCAAAACTCTGGAAATCAAAAGAGGTTACGAAATCACAGATGCAGGCATGTTAAATACAGACTGCTGTCTTTCATAACCTGGCATGGACATTTTTAACAAAATATTAGCACGTTAAATAGCTCAAGTCAATTATTTACTATAATCAAGTGGGATTTAGCACAGGAATGCAAGATTATTTTCATATCCCAAAATTAATCAATTAAATAATCTAATAAAAATTAAGGCAAATCCACATAATCATATCAAGAGATTTGAACAAGTGTTCAGTGAAACCCAGTGTCTATTCGTGATAAACTCTCTCAACTAATGAAGAACAAAAGAATCAGATCTTAGAGAAGGATGGACCCTCGAGGGCAGTTAGTGCTTTCCAATCAGTAACAATGCTTCAACGAAATTTAAATTCTTCCTGTCATAAAGTTAAAAAATAATATTAAAATACCCTGGAATATTAAAATGTCATACAGGTGATGTATACCACGCTTTTATGGGTGGTTTCCATGGCTTTGTACCAGTGACCCTAAAATTCTAAAATATTGACTATCTGAACTCTAAAGAAAATTTTCCCTGATGCTTGGTCTTAAGAACCAAGAGAAAAGAGTCATTCCTGGTGGGGAACTATTTCAGACTACAAACTGGAAGTTTCCACAAGAGTGAACAATGCTAATGTGATAATACCCCCAAACCCGGAGTCACTCTGTACCTCAGTTCCAATGAATGTAGGACGAATATATAGACTAGCAGATGTTGAATATGGAACCCATTCTTGATCCAGCTTCACAAGTTGCTGAATACATTCTAAAAGTTCTTCCTTGTCAAATCCCTGAAAGAATGAGAACATAACAATAACAAATACTGGAAGGTAGTTTTCCTTAGCAATAAGAAATATTCTTTATGGGAGTTTTAGATTGTTATAAAAGCAACATGATTTTTTTTTTCTGATTTTCTCCTCAAAAAGTGATAGAATGATAGATTATCTATATGCAGAAGATGAAAATGGGTGTCCGATTTCTTGCCATACCCAAGTATGAACTGTAGTTGAATTTTACACATAAATGTGACAAAACACTAAGACATTTTGAAAAAATACAAGTGGGGTCTCCCCAGTGGCACAGCGGGTTAAAGCACAGCAGTAGGAAGCTAAAGCCACTTCAGCATGAGTTCGATCCCCGCCTGCCCCAGAGGTGACCCACATGGCGCTGCAGACCTCTCTTGACCTGCCTGCTGCTCCCCTCAGCAGTGTGCTTCGTCAATCTGCCTGTTCTACTCCCCACTCTGTCTCTGGTGAATCCTCTCACTGCCCCTGAACTTCTGGCCTGTACCCAGTTCTGTTTGCATAAATAAATATTAAAAAAATATATAAGTTACCACTATCTGTTTTTTAATATTTATTTATTTATGCAAACAGAACTGGGGTACAGGCCAGAGGTGCAGGAACGTGAGAAACAAAAACATTGTGGAGAGCAGAACAGGCCAACTGACAAAGTTCACTGCTGAGGTGAGCAGAGGGTGGATCAAGAGAGGTCTGCCATGCCATACCACTGTCTTTTTAAGATAGGAAGTGATTTTTAAATAGAGACACAAAGTATGAACTATAAAGAAAGACACTAGATACAGTTTACTGAAAACTTAAGGACTTCTGTTCTTCAAACAACACAAGAAACCACAAGTTGGGTGGAGTTATTTGTGACCTATATAATAAACAAATAAGCTTAAATGGAATATGTTAACATATGCAAAAAGTCAGCAGGAAAGAGATTGATAATCTAATAGGAAAGTAGACAGGTGAAAACAGAGTCTTATATACTAGGTGGGTGACAGGTGGGCAAAATAAGTTGGCTTTGCTCACTTGGCTAGGCAGAGAAACAGACTTTCAGAGATGTGATGGGTTAAGGCAGGAAAGCATCATAAACCCCTCATCGGAACTCATTATGTCAGGATTTGATTGTCTTTTTTGCCCCTTCCTTTGCTCTGTGTGACTTTAGGCAAGTCACTTAACCTCCCCGGGCTTGAGTTTTTTTCTCTGTACAAAGGTGCAGAAAAATTGACAATATATACCATCTTGACAAGTTAGGATGAAACAGAGAAGGAATGTAAAACAACCTAACAGTCTGTAGCAAAGCTGATGGTAAATGCTACTTCCCTTTGACCCCATTTTAAAATGTTTCCTCATGATCTGTCTGTAGCGGTAGAAGGGTAAACCCACATCCAGCCCAAAGAACTTTCCCTTCTGTTACCATATTGAGGCACCTGAAGGAGGCATTATAAAAGTAGGGAAGAGAAGGCATAGTGGCTAAAATGAAGTCGTTACTTGGATTTAGCTGGGGTTCTTCAATGCACAGCTAGGGCTAGGTTCCCAAAGATTAGGTACACAGCACACAGCCCAGAAAGGCAGTCTGGTCATGTCTCAGGAAATGGAAGTGATTGAAGTCACCTCCTACCTAGTTATGATCTGGCCCCAGCCTACTTTGTGGGGAATTCTCCATAGCAAACAATATCATGGCCATAGTATAAGAGGCTTTGTTGACAACTCCTTTTAAAAATAAAACATGGAGTGGGCCCTCTCTTGTGGCTTAACGGGTTAGGAAGCAGCACTGCAAGCTGGCTGCAGTTGCTTCAGTGAGAGTTCGATCCCTAGCCCTGGAAGTGACCCACATTTTGCGACAACTCTCCTGACCCACTGCTCCCCTCAGCAGTGTACTTTGTCTATCTGCCTGTTCTGCTCCCTGTTCTGTCTCTGGTGAATCCTCTTATTGCCCCTCTACCTCTGGCTTGTACCCTAGTTCTGTATGCATAAATAAATATATAAATCTTTAAAAAAGGAAAAGTAGACAAGGATTGTATTTAAAAAATAATAATAAATAAAACATGGAGTAAAATATCAAAACACTTAATTAAATCACTACGTGCTTGCTGTTATCTAAAGCAGTCAGGCCAAATACCCCAAATACCTGTACAACACCCCATTATGTTCCCTTTCATTACTTTAATTGCATAGTCTTTAAATTTTACGTGTTTTATTTTGAGTCTTATATTTCTTCCTTACTCTTTTCTTCCATAGATATATATTAACCCCTCACAAACACTCATACAGAAGCAGAATATGGAATTACTAAAGGCAATTGGTTGTTTATTCTGTTTTTACCTCACTAATTACAAAGTACAGCAGAAATAACTTGTGTTTTTATGATTTGTACTGAGTTTTGACCTAAGTATTGAGAAGTGATTTGTTTGATGGTGTATTCACAGTGACCCATTACATGAAAAGAAATAAAAATACATTCCAAAATGGACATACCGGTAAAGTTGCTCTCTTAGCTGATCGGTACATTCTCTCCATATTGAGATGTGGCCGGAACAGCCGAATTTTATTATCTACTCCTCGGAATGCCTTCAGCCCTTCAAATAACTGAAGAGAAAAGAGAAATAAATCTTAGGGTTTAACAAAATGAAAACAACCCCTGTGTTCAAAATGTTGTAGGAGCTCATCTCCTCCATCATGGAGGATAGGACATCATCCAGAGATCCCTAAATCTAGAAAGGCCAACCACTGAACACGCTGCTTAGAATAACTGGGATAGGGGCCTTCCCTGGTGGCACAATGCATTAAAGCACTATGAAGCTATCTGAAGGCACTGCAACATGAGTTCGACCCCCAGGCTAGGGAGGTGACCCACATGGCGTGGCAGAGCGCTTCTGGCCCACTCGCTTCTCCCCTCAGCAGAATGTTTCATTCAATCTGCCTGTCCTGCTCTCCGCTCTATCTCTGGTGAATTCTCTTACCCCACACCCCCACACTTCTGGCCTGTATCCCAGTTCTTGTATGCATAAATAAATTAATCTTCTTAAAAAAAAAAAAAGAACTGGGATAAAAAGAAGTCCTTGGACTAGCAAAATCTGGTGGGAATTCAGCACTACCCCATGCTTAGCAAGAAACAACTGCTAAGTGTCCCATCAATGGCTCCATCTGAGGAAAGCTGGGATGCTTAGACAATGGAGTGGAAGCCGGAGACCCTGGGGCACCTTGCTCCTTCCATACCCTGGTCTCTTCTCATCTATCTGGCTCACTCAAACTCTGTACTATAGGGAATCTAGATGTAACCTGAACTGGTTTGGTCCCCAATGACCTAGAAACCAAGAAGATCAAGTACTATGGTTTGGCTATGTCACCTTTCACAAACAAAGCACCACCTCCAATTAACCCCAGGGGAGCAGTGAAAAGACTTTAAAGTAGGCATGCACTGGTAAATACAGAGAAAAGAGAAGAGTAATTTCAGTGGGAAGTGTTGAAACAGGCAGTCTAACTAATTAACAGAACAAATGGACTAAAACACAGTAAAGATATGGAACATTTACACAATAACAAGCTAATCCACTGGACACACACAACCCTGTGCACACAAGTTCTCTCATGTGTTTTCCAACACCTACATAATATTGAATTCAAACAACAGACACCCACACCTCATATAATTTGACTTTGGTGTAGTTCAAAAAGAGGCAAAACTACAGTGTTAGAGATACAGATAATCTCAAAAGAAAAGCAAAGAAGGGTTTCACAAAAGTAAAGAAAATGGTGCATGATAAGATACAGGATATGTGGCATGGAATGGACTAGATATGGGATACCCAGGTAGTTTATTTCTTTATTAGTCTGGTTGCTGAATAAGCAGTTTCTAAGTATTCATTATAAATGATTCCTTCCCCATAGGCCAGTATTTCTGAAAATGGGGTGCCTGCAGTAACAACCTTAACCTGACCTTGGAACTCTGATATTTGAAACTCAGGGGATGAAGCCAAAGGATATTGAGACAGGCTGATACTGCCCTATGCTTTATCACATTCCTTCTTTCCCATTTATAAGCACTTTCTCATCTCCTTTGCTCTTCACTATCCCCAGTGAAATGGGAAGGGCAGCTCCCATTCTTATTTTGTCTTTGAAGAAACCTGACCTTTGAGTGACTTATCAAGATCTCATCCAGCTTGACACAACAAGTCTAGAAACACAAGTTGCAAATGGAAACATAGATTCTCAAGTTCCATATTTAAGTGAACACAATGGGGCAGGAATGTGTTTCTAAATTATACAAATGTATAATTCTAAACAAGCTAATGGGAATGTCTTTGCATTTGTTGAGAGTTATGTCATGGGAATAGGAAGTTAGCATTTGAACCCTAGCTTCTCCTGATAGCTATGTGATCTTGCCCTAGAAATTTCACTTTTCTAAAACTGCTTGTAGGCAGGTTGCTTCTGTTGCTACTTGTTGTGAACAACTGTCATTGTGATGTAGCGACATTACTGGCATAGCTCTGTAAGCTGAAATCAATGATCTTATTTTATCCTCCTAATGACTCTATGAGATAATAGCGATCATCACCTCAATTTATTGGTAAAGAAACTGAAGCATAAAATGATTAAATCAATTTAAGACATACAACTCCCTATAGAGACAGAATGAGTCTGACTGTAGAACCTAACGTTTAACCATATTCTTTCTGACTTAAAATAGCTAAAAGAGAGGACCCATTATAATGCCTCTAGTATAAGTCACATGACAGGAATTCAGTAAATAAAAGTAGCTATGTTATTGTTATGAATATTGACTCTTACTATCTTTTAGCTCTTTAATAGGTAGGCAAGGTTTATTTTCATCACCCCAATATTCTAGGAAAGACATCTATAACACATTTGATACAGAAAATGAAATGGAAATCAAGGGAATAAGGAATGTAGTGTGTCTTGAGAAGAACCAGAGAAAGCATTCTCTAAATATTTAATATTTGCTTATAATTATTCTACTTATGCTTGAAGGAGCTTACTTAATTACATGTCATCTAATGTAATTACATAACTACATGGTATTGCTGGTTATAAAGTTATATTGAAGTTAATATTAAAGTCTAAGCATGACATTGTATTCAATGACCCCTTCTCAACCATTAAAAGAGCCAAGAAAAAGATGGCTTAAAAGTATTAGACATATAGGCTTTTTGATTGTTCATTTTCTTCTCAACTGTCCTTCCCATTTGCTCTAAGGAAGGACTTGACTTTTATTGACATTACAGAAAGTCAGTATTATCTGAAAATCATTCTAAGACTTACTCCAATCCAACTGTTAACAGGAAAAGTTTTATAGACACTTACAACTTTCTTGAGTAAGGTAGGGGAGCTGCTACTACCCCACACTGTTCTAGCTAGAGGCAAACACCTCCCCTTCTTTAATCCTGTGTACTACTCACTTCCACCGCATAGTGGAAAGCTGATGAGCCTGGATGCAGTGACAGGTTCTGAAGGGGCTTGATGTGTGGTTTCTCCCATCCAAATTCTGAGGACCACTCCACTGTCAACATGTGGTCCGTGAAGACAGTTCCAAACACCAAACTACTTGGGTCCGGTTTGGGCTTTAAGATGGTAGCTTGTGTGATGATTAGATCTTTGGCCTGGGAAGAGAAATCAACACCATGAAAAAGAAGTAACTGAACATCACCTGGCTCAATGATGCCATTAAAAAGTAATTTTGGGTTCTTCCTAGTGGTGCAAGGGATCAAAGCACTGCATTACATAGCTCTCCAAAGCCACTGCAGCACAAGTTAGACCCCAGGCCAGGTTGCTGATCCACATGGTATGGCAGACCTCTTCTGACCTACCCGCTGCTCCCCTCAGCAGTGTACTTTGTCAATCTTCCTGTTCTGCGCCCATCTCTGTCTCTGGTGAATCCTCTCACCAACCCTGCACCTCTGGCCTGTACCCCAGTTTTGTAAGCATAAATAAATAAATAAATATTTTAAAGTGACTTACCCCCCCACCCCAATCCCCGCCCATCCCATGGCACAAAGAGTTAGAAGACAGCACTGCAAGCTAGCAACAGCCACTTCAATGTAAGTTTGATCCCCAAACCTGGAGGTGATTCACATGGCATGGCAGACCTCTCCTGACCTGCCCACTACTTCCCTCAGCAGTGTACTTTATCGATTTGCCTATTCTGCGCCCCACTCTGTCTCTGGTGAAGCCTCTCACTGCCTCTAGACCTCTGGCTTGTACCCCAATTCTGAATGAATGAATGAATGAATTCTTGGCTTTTTTTTTTTTTTTTTTGTCCTATCCCCAGAACCTGTTTATCTTATACCTGGAAGCTTGTACCTTTCTTTGGTCCTCACCTACTTTCCCCACCCCAACCCCATTTGAATTTTAAATGTTGGCAACTAACTCAGAAATGTAACAACTCTATGTGAGCCAAACCAACATTACCTGCATTTAGGATTTGCCCTGTGGTCTGAGATTTTTGCCTACCAGAAACACAGACAAATAGCAAGTGGAATTAACTGATGCAGAAGAACACATCCTTTACTTGACTCCCATCAAGGACTCATCTTGAGCATTTAGAAAAGAAAAAAGAGTTGTCTTCTCTAATACAAACAACCACTTATAAAGTGTTAATTAACGTGAACATCGTTGAGAACCAAACCTCTTGGCCATGGTTACACTCCAACTCCCCCTAAGAATTCTTGGCATGAGCCTTCAAACCCCCCTGGGTGCTCTGCAGAAGAAATGAACAGAGGGAACCGAATGTTTTGCTCTTTGAAAACAGAAACATAGAGAATGAACACTAAGATATCAATCCTCTGTTCCGTGTTGAGGAAACAGTGAACAAAGAGCCTTTTATTCAAAAACAGATAAATAAGCGTAATGGAAACAACTTCACCCAGCAGTATCTCACCAAGCCTCCAACAACGCCAGCTTGCCCACAGAAATGGCCAAACATATGAGTGTGCGAAGCTCTGGCACCACCAGCACTACCTGGATAACAGCCACAAAACGCAGACAGAAAACAGAGGAAGGAGCTTTCTGACCAGTAAAAACCAACATAAGCCAGGGCCAACTTGCACCTGTTGAGGGGTTAGAAAGAGGTGAAACTTCACTGTTTTACATACACAGAAGCCCTCACCTCACCCAAAATCAGTCATAGAACATCACTTTGCATCATCAGCTCTTATATTTTTTCAGGGATCTCACTAATTCTGATTAAGTCACTACCTTACAGTTGTTTTAGCCATATTATTTTATTTTAGAAGTAATTTTTAGGGTTGGAAATATATTCTGAAACAACCAGAATGATCACATTGCGATCAAACAGCAGGCATTAAGGAGAGCACACTACTATAATTTTAAGGGTAGTTTAGCAATGCTTCTTTGTGATACACAATAAAATGAGGAATTGGAAGAAATGGATGTTTTGGATGTTTTTCTACCACTAATCCAAGTAAGTAAGTCAACTTAAAACCTTTTGCCTAGTGCAAAAAAAAAAAAAAAAAAAAAAAAAAGAATTGATTTAAAGGAATATATTCTAGGTAAATTGGTTTGAATTCTATTTCTCTCCCTTTATCCTCTAAACCAGGTAAGACATTGGCCAAAATCATCTGTAGGCCTTTTGCAGGTGCCAGCCTGTTTTGTAAATGAAATTTTATTGGACTATATCACACCATTCTTTTACTTTTTCAATGATGCCATAGTCCACCAGTGACAGAAACCTGATGGTCCTGAAGCCTAGAAGTTTTCCAGTCCTTCTATACTATTTACTCAGGACTTGAGTATTTGCAGTTAATTCATCACCCTGTGCACCAAAGCTGGTCTAGCCAGGAGGGCAATTGTGTCAGCTTCTTCCCATGTATTTATTCCCACTATGCAGTGGAAAGCTGATGAGCCACAGGTTTTGAAAGACCGTGCCCTGCAAATGTGATGGTAAAAATTCTCTTAAATACTAAACTAATGTTTGTCAGATTTCAGACGCAGTTCCTAAGAAATGACTGACTCATGGGGAGAAGTTGGCCATGATGAGTTCAAGTGAGTACAATTCCAACACAATCTTTTAGGATGATGAATGGCTCCCCGGTGTGTTTGCACAGTGAAGCACTTCTAATTTCCTTTACTTTGTTATAGAGCTTGGGGGTGGGGGAGGGTTTGGGCTAAGCAAATTCTTGAACCATATCGATATAGTGAAACAGACACTGTGGAAGGTTTCATTACTAAGACAACTAAGGAAAGTTTCTTGGTAAATAGAGAGCTAATAGACAAAAACAGAAAGGTGAGAAAAGGTGAAAATGTAGAGCAGAGTGTGAGAGAAGGGGTGAGAACTTGGTGAATTGGGGTTATAACTTAACTTTTACCAAGTTGTAGACCTCAACTTTTTTTTCAATAACAAACAATGGTATGGAAGGCTTGGTTTTGCAAAAGGAAAGGAAAAGGTGATCCTCGCTGCTATTCCTCTCATTAGCTAGTCTATTCCATGAGTTAATCAATAGGAAGGCAATAAGCACATTATCTTGAAGGATCTGTAAGCACTTCCATAATCTGCCTGAGGGAAACCCATAGACATTGGGGTGTAGACTTTATTTTGGTGACAATTTACTTAAGAATGTTTTAGGACTCTCCCTAGTGGCACAATGGGTTAAAGCACTGCATTATGAAGATCTCCAAAGCCACTGCAGTATGAGTTCAATCCCAGCCAGGGAGCTGACCCACATGGTGCGGCAGACCTCCTCTGGCCCGCCCACTGCTCCCTTCAGCAGTGTACTTTGTCAGATGGCCTGTTCTGCTCCCCACTCTGTCTCTGGTGAATCCTCTCACCCACCACACCTCTGGCCTGTACCCCAGTTCTGTATGAATAAATGTATTTTTTTTAAAAAAGAATGTTTAAACAAACAAGACCTTGAGGCTTTCCCTCATATCAGACACCTGTAGGATGACTCCTTCTTCCTTTCTTCCTCATCTACTTTGTTATTCTGAATACCCGCCTTCATGTTCACTCAGTGGCTGTTGGCTCCAGCAGCCCAGGGCTTAGGTGCTGCTCTACATGAGCACAGGAGGAATCACATCAACACATACATAGTAGGGATGACGGATGCTGTAAAAACTGAAGGTGCAAAAGGGAAAGCGTGGGAAAGAGAAGGCTTGTTAGAAAAAGTAAGGCTGACATTGGAGTGACCTTGAATGAAGGAGGCAGGCCAAACAGGTATCAAGGAGCAAAGAATTCCAGGCCAAAGAAACAGTGCAAAGACAGTGAGGTGGGAACATGATCAGCGTGCTCAAGAAACAGCAAAGAGCACAGTGCGAATGAGGCAATGAGGTAGAAATGGTGTGGATGAAGGAAGATAAATGCTCAGAGGCATTGTGGCTTTGGAAAAGGGAAAAGTCTTTGAGGACCAAGAGACCATCAAACACCAACCTCCAGATGTGCAGCCAAGATTTCACCCCACACCCCTTATGTCTCAGGAATTGTATCACAGTTCTTCTGGCAATTCAAGGCACTCCAGCTTATCTCCCCTTTCCGGGCAGTGTGAAGGCGCCTAAGGATACTACTGATTGTGTGACCACCTTACTGTGATTTCCTGCTGTGTGAAAGGTATAAAAAGGAACACAGCAGGGAGACTGAGGGGGATACTTTAGCCACTGTAACCAGTGGTAAAAATGCAGGAATCTGGGAATTCTGAGCTTCTTCCCTGAGCATCTACACTGGCCCCTCTGCATCAGAGCTTTTCAACCTCGATTCAACTGAGAGGGATTTAAAAGTACTCTCTGGACTCCATTCCAGAACCAGAATCTCAAAGAGATTGGGTGAGGGGTGGTCTGCTATTTGCTTTTAAGCTACCCAAATGATTCTAAATGCACTGTCAGAGCTGACCATCACACCTCCCCATCCACCCCGACCCCACCCCCCATCTTCTTGGAAAGGAAAAGTTCTCCGTGTTAGCTGTTGAGTTCATGACATTGTGCACACCCAACCTACAATCAGTGCATGAAAAGTCCACCCGGGAGTGGGCTCCAAGTTCCACAGAGCATTCCTATCGTGGGAAGGGCTGAGAGTCACTGGCTTATGAGATTCAAGTTGCAGGGATCTGTGAATTCTGACACTGTGTACTCTTCAGTAATCCTGTGACCTTGCTGATGTCAAATCAATTCAACTAAAAGGAAACATGTAATATTTCCTTCCAAACTAGGTGCCTATTTCTGGTATCACCTTCCTTTCTACTTCTTAAGCCTTATTAATTAAAAATAAAATATATTTATTACTTTATTTTAAAATTCTACTGGACAAAAGGGGAGAACAATGAAAAACAAAACAAAACAAAACAAAAATCTATACCTGGCAATGAAGTCCTACTTCTCAGAAATAAGCTCCTTTAACAAATTCATGGTGCCTTTTCCTGTATTTTCTTTGCATCCTTCTTGCTTTCAAGGTCATAGATCATTCTCACAATGTTCTTCCAACCTTGCTTTGTCAAGTCAGTCACTGAAGTGAGATACTTGTACTTTCACGTCTCTCTTTAATATATCTTACGCATCACTTTCAACCACACCCTAGTCGTGAATTTCCTATGTCTCTTCCCTATAATCCTCATGAATATAACCACATGTTTGATCATGACCTCCAGGGTCCATGCATAGCACAATGGCTACATATTCTGTCCAAACATTTTAGCCCAAAAATCAAAGACCCCATGTATGGCAAAACTGCCTTTTTCAGGTCTACTTTCAATTATGTTTTTGCATAAACCTTTTACGTATCATTTAACAGTGCATTCAGCAGCAAGTAAATCAAAAACAAATTGGAGTGGTTTTCTCACATAACAAGTCTAGAGGAATTAAGTCTGGCAACACCATAATGTCAAGGTCTGTGATTTTCTTTCCTCAGGGTCAAAAAAAGATGGTTATAGTTATAGCTTCCACTCTAGCAAACTAATCCTGTTTCAAAGAAAGGAGAAGAAAAGGCACCATCCTATATGCCTGTTCCTTTGACCACAGAAGTGAACCGCCCCAGGAATCTCTACAGTGTTTAGTGGCTAGGAAGCATCAACAGGGTCACCCTGGCTGCAAGGCAGGCTGGAATGTAAACAGACTGCAGCAACCTTTCCTGCAGACAAAATCTGGCTTTGTTAACAAAAAACATGGCTGTGTTGTATTGAGGGTGCACATTAGCCAGCACCTAAACACCGATCAACCCTTAAGCAGTCTTGTTTCCATGCATCAATCTGACAAGGATTGGGGACAGCAAAACTAACACTTGGCTGCAGACACTCCACACTCACCTCATTTTCTTCCTGCCACTTCTACTGGTAACACTGGACGATTTTTATCATGCTTTTAAAAACCATTTTCTTGCTCTACATTTCCTTTCCGAACATGGGTAAAAATAACGGTACTTATAAAGTTGTACTATTCCTGCATCATTAGTGTCTTTTTTCAATTGATCCTCCATGTTCTCTGGTGATTTCAAAGTCATACCATATGTTCGTAGAAAAATTTGGAAGACTGCAATGACTGAATTATGAATTACTAATGAAAAACAGGGCAAATTAAAACCAACAATCTCCTCACCAACCTTTGGGTAACCATTTGCTCAAAAATGGAGAAGCCCACAGTAGGTAAAGCCCACCTTGGATGACAGCACCTGAGAACTACTGTAGCCAACGTCATCCAGTTCACCACTCAGCATCACACCTGTGCTTTTCTACATGACCATAAATTAAATGTCTGGAAGATGACCACTGCATGGCCTCTGCATCCAAAACTGCATAATTCTGTTCTACAAGTATTGCATTTTTCTTGCAAGGAACTATATTTGTTATCTTTTAGAGATGCTTCTAAAATATAATAAGAAGGCATCAAAGAAGAGAATGTCTGATTCGGGGTGTCACATTCTCTGGGGGTCTACATAGCAGAATGAATTTAAAGAGAAAGGGCTCATTACTTTTGATCAAAGAAGAATCTGGAGTCCAAAAAAAAAAACGCCCCAGGATAGAAACACAAGGTATCTCATTGTTGGACCTTGTTGGATATGGCATCTTCCCTTTAGCATGAATGCATCAAAATTCAGGGATGGAGCCATATAAAAACTACCCATGAGAAACCCAAAAGGCAATTTAAAAATTATACATGGGTTGATCAAACAAGAGAGAAAAGAATGCATTAAGAGCAAGATGGTCCTCTAGAAAAGCTATCAGCTTTCCCTCCCAAGTTATTGATTTCATTTTCATGTGCCTTGCACAGATGGGCTGTGAATACAACTACTATTACAGCTCCCATTTTGATATGTAATACACCAGAACAGAATGTTAGTACATCACCCCTTTAGTGAAAATCTAATATATAGAAATCTAAATCAATATAGAGGAGATTATTATCATTTAATTTTTCATTTTGCAAAAAAAAAATAATCTAAGAGTAGAGCCTTTTTAGAAAAAAAATGTATTTATTTATATTGAGGAACTTACTCATTATATAAGATGACACTTAGGAATGCTCAAGTAGGAACATCCTTCTTAACTTATTCTTTCAGAGACCCTCAATATCTGAATCCCCAAAAGGTATCAGTGCTTAGCCTTTACAGACTAGCAGAGTTATTGCTTTTTAAAGGACTAAGAAGAATACAGACAAAACCCACAAAATTATTTTAGGAAGAAAATTACTCCATTTTTTGGTTGTTTTTGTTAGTTTGTTTTCTTTAGTTTCAATTTTTAGAGCAGAGACCTTATCTTGAATTTAACTTTGAATTGTTAATACCCAGCACAGACTCTGGCACATAGCAAAACCTGAGTGTGTGTGTGAGAGTCTGTATGTGTGTGAGTATCTGTGTGTATATGCAATTGATGAGTCAAGTTCTCCCCCTTTCTGAACCCTGCCAGGATGTGAGGTCATTAGGACACTCTGTGCTGTGGATGACAATTGACAGTGACTGAGGAGGCAGCAGGAGGGCAGACTGAGGCATAAAGAGAGAAACAAAACCCTCCATGGTGAAGGGGGAAAATGGTTTATTTATAGAGACAATAATAGTGCCCCTTATATTTATATTTTTTATAATTTCCATTGCATTTTAATAAGATTCTTATTGCTCCTCACTATTCCTTGAAGTATAAAATTATTTAATACATATTAATCCCACTTTTCAGAAGAAAAAGCACTTTTACTTGAAAATGTTAGGCACTGCTTAAAGAAAAAATGTTAAGAAAGTTTTATACAATCAGATAAACCTCGAGGTTAATATTCACAAATTGATTATTTTATGGGAAAAAATGTATCATTTATAAAATGAGATAAGCAATTAGTGTCAGGTAGTCTTTGATGTGATGACTGTACTTATATTACCCCAATAATTCTTCTCCCTGTGGGTGGAATTTCAAACACATGGCAGCAGAACTAAATACTGAATAACCCCCCTGTAAAAAAAAAAAAAAAAGTACCCCAACTCTCACAAAGAAATGGATTTAGTCAGTGAACTGCTGTCATTTAGCCTCTAGCAAAAAGCTTACCTTAAAGGTCTCCACTAGCAAAAAGCTTACCTTAAAGGTCTCCACCACCTCTTTTGATCCTCCTTCTCCAGCACATTCCGCCAAGCATCCGTTATTGCAGTCCTTAAAGAAGAAGTAAACCCATTAAGTAAAGCTTGGTGGGTTACTGGGGACGAGGGTACCCCCTATCACTCACCATTACACCGTGCGCTCGGCTCTGGTACCAAGCAAACAGGAAAAGGAGCTCAAACACCCAGGCGGCAGCCCGGAACCCAGCGCCGTGGGAGTGCGGCCCTCGCCTTTCTTCTCAGCCCGAGGTCGCTGCGGTTTCTGTGCTCCACCGCTGGCCGAGGGCAGACTGGTTAAGTTCCAGGTTAGCCCTCAGAGCCAGGGTTCACCAGCCAAGAACAGAAGGCGATTGTCTTCCGTATATCCGAGTAAATAGTCTAGACTAGGGTTTTAAGCCATTTATAGAAAAATCTCCCGGGCGCGCTCAGCCTCGTGGTCTTGTCAATCACGCGCGCACAATAGCGAGCCTGGAAAAAGAATCCGGACCAGAGTGAACCATTTTCTCCAACGGCGGGGTCGTGCAATGCAGACATATCAAACCCCACAAATTAAAGGCAAAATCTCTTGGTCTAGGTTGTCATTTAAGCGCTATTTAGTGACACAAAGAAAGCAGGACGATTGGGAAAAGGTGCGCGCGCGTGCGTATACACACACACACGCACACACACACCAGCTTATTCTGCTAAATTACTACGGGGGAGAAGGGGAGGAAGAAAAAGATCCAAGGAGGCAGAAGGCTGCGGTCAAAATATTTTGGGGAGGCGAAGGCACGCAGGATATGACTGTCAGTTCTGGAAGCCCAGAAATTCCACTCCCGCCTCCTCCCCCAAAGCGGCTTCCATGGCGACCCTCACGTCCCGGTGGGATTCAGAGCCTCCCTCACCACCAGGCAGGCAGGGACCACTTGGGCAGAGGTCACAAGCTAGGACGCCAGATTTGGGGCAAGGCTGGGGGAGGGGGAGGAGAAGCCCGGGTGGAAGAGAATGACAGTGCGAGGTTAAAGAAGATGGTGCAGGAAACCGCAGCAAAGCCCCGGGCCCGGCCAGCCCTTTTCTGGGAGCTGGGGTCCGCCAATCCGCCGCCCTTCTGCAGATGCGGGGGCTGGAAGTACCTGGTGGGCGAGGGTCTCGGCGACGCGTAAAGAGCTGGCCATAGGGAGGCTCCGCGAGCGCAGGGCTGCGGAGAGAGGCGGCTGTACGCAGCGGACTGTTGGGCGCAAAAGCGGGCGACTCGGCCAAGCCCCGGCGCACAGCCCGCGCTGTGCCGCCTGCCACCGCCCGGAGCCCCGCGCCAGGGCTAGGCGCAACTCTTCCAGCATCCCTGCGGACAGAGCGTCTAGCTGGTTCCAGCCGTTCTTCAGATGGGAAAACTCAAGCCGCTGTCCCTGCCACGAGGTCCGCGCAGGGCCCGAGAGTGCGCGCCAGGAGCAAGCGCCTTTCCAAGCTCAGGCACTGCGCGAGTATCATTCTTTAGCAAAGTACTCTTGGGTGAGCAACCCAGAAAGGCACGGCCACTTGCGGGAAATTAATTATACTTAGGGCAGGTTTTCCATCGACAAAGGCAGTTTCTACCTCCAAGACATTGCAGCCAGCAATTGGCCATTGTGCTTTGGGTTCCGCCACAACCACTCCCCTCCCCCATTCTGCTCGTACAAACTTAAGGGAGAGTAGGTAAATCCGAAGTTTAGATTTCTGTATGCCATCCATCCAAGTCAGCTTTATAATGGGCTTTTGTGGGGCTACCAGGCTCTCATCCCCTGAAATCTGTTTCTACCCAAAGACTTCAACACTACTTAGAAAAGTCTGGCCCAATATTCATTGTTTGGGTGTTCAATTGACCTTGAAGAACTCTGAACTGTGTTTGGCAGTTTAGCAATATCTAGAAAAGGTCCGAGGAAGTGTCCAAAAGGGTCCAAAAGGAGAGGTTGAAATTCCTCTCCTTTTGGTAGGAAAAGGGAAGACTGATACAACTCTTGTATGCTCTGCTGTCTTCTCCCAGAACAAAATCAGGCAGAAATATGAGACTTTGGCTCTTTTAAAATGAATAGGGAGCAGTCACTTGGACTGACTTGATCTTGGAACATGGAGAGGGCAGTTTATTCTGGGTGAAAGTGGTTAAATTCAGCATGATTTTAGAGCTGATTTCATATGGTCCTAAAGACAATATAGCTAGCTCTAATCTTATCAGCTTGGAAAAGAACATTCTCTTCTCCCTTCTTCCTGCCCTTTTATACAAGTCATAAAAAGCCTCTAAGTCTGAGGTGGAGTCTCCAGGTTCTGCAGCATCAAAGAGTGACCATGGTTGCTGAAACCAAAATTCTTTTATTTAACACATGTAAAATCATATTTTAAAGTATTTAAGTACAGGTCAAATAAATTCTAGAGCTAAGAATAAGCACCCCTAAAGAGTTATAAATTTATGTGCATTGGGAAAGACTGATGAAAGCCTGTTCTAAAAAGCAGACTCAACATAACTCCAATTTTCTTGCTATTTAAAATGGTACCTGTAGGTCCTCCCTTTACAGTTGAAAAAACATGTATGATATAAGAGAATTACCTTGATTCCACCTTCCTTTAGAGACAGCTGTCTGTACTGCTTCCATTTCCTCCCCTTTCAAGGGACTATCAGTTGACTTCCATCTAATTATTCTACCTAAACCAGCTTCCTAATAGCCTTCATTTTACTTGACCCAAAGTTTTTTGTTTGTTTGTTTTTGTCCAGCGCATTGACCTTAATTACATTAGGGTAGATTTTCCAACTGTAAATACAGTTTCTGCCTCCAAGACTTTGCAGTTGGTGATTGGCCATTGTACTTGGGCCCCTGCACACCATGCTGAAGATACCCAAATATAAGCGCACCTGTCTTAAGCAAGCAACACCTACAGTCAAAACATTTATTATGTGTGTGACACTTGTCTCAAACATTTATTATGTGTGTGACACTTGTGAAGTGTGTGAGGTGGAGTCTCCAGGTTCCAGAGAAAGACTGATAGAAGAAAAAATACTACTTGTGTTAAAAGCATTAACTTATCCCAAAAGGTAAAATTGCAAATCTAATAAATGCTACCTGTGCTTTAAGCACCTCTAATAATGCAATGTAGCTGACCCAGAATAGCCTAGGGAGAATTTCCTGCAAGGGATTCTTGAGCAGAGATCTGAAGGATCCATATATATGGATAGATAGATACATATCCCAAAGTAAGAACCTCCAGAATAACAGTGAAAGGGCCTTTCAGAGAGGGGAAGAAACATGGTACTTACAAAGAACCAAACCTGAGCCAGAGGCTTCAGTAGACACAGGCGGAGGGAGTCAGCCCAGGGAGACTGGGAAGGCAGAGGAGGGCCAAACTTGCAGTGCCTCATAGAGAATTCACAGTCCTGTTATAGCTTATTTAACTCAGTTTATGAAGGACCAGGCAGATGTTAGAAGTAGTCTAAAGGCAGACACATTTCTGGGTCAGGAAGAGTAAAGTGAATTTGCAAACAGACATGAAGCAGACTTCTTCCAGGTTAGGTTTGTTGAACTCCGAGCTTGAGATTTATTTGCATGTCTAGCCATAGGAATTATGTGGACTTCTATCACTTATCTGTAAAATAACTCAAAACCAATGAAGCAGTGTAAAATACTGTGAAAGGGCTTAGAGAATCCTAGAAACAAGAAAAGAACTACCGGAAGGTTAGGGTTGGTAGGGCATGGGGGTGGAGGGCTGATGGGCTTGAAGTGTGCTCTGCTCTTTGGAGACCAGAGGAGGAAGTCCTGGTGCGGGGAGATTGATCTACGAGGAAATTATTACAAAACCCATATGAGATGATGAGATGGGCTCGAGCTGTTGCATGTGTGATGACCATTAATATGTTGGACGTGGCAGGTGACATTGATGGGGAGAAGCAGCCAGGTTCAGCAAGCTTTAGATGGGCTGGGCATCAAAGAAGGGAGAGTAAGATGCCCCGCAGTTCGGCTCCTCAGATGGGTGATAGTGGCTGGAAAATGGAAAGCTGCAGACGGTATGCTCTGAGGAGACCAGGAGGAGTATGGGAGCCGTTTTGAGCTGCCTCTGGAGTGGCCTTTTGGGGCATGTCTTTCTGAGCTCCAAGGAGAATTCTGGATTAAGGTAAACATTTGATGAATCCCTGGCAAGTCAGTGGTAACTGAAGCAAAGGGTGCAAACAAGAACGTCTTTTCTGTACTTGGTTTTCTTATCTGTCAGAGGGGACAGTTGCAACACTTTCTGATTGCCAGCTAGGATGGATGACTACTACCCAGGTGAAATATGCAAGTGACATAGAGCCTTACCTGGAAAATCTTAATTCCTCCATAAATGTAAGGAATCATCATCTCTCTGGTTGACAGGCAATAAAAAATTTATATTTCAAAACTAGATATCAGTATCAGAGAGAAAGTGTGAGACGTTGAGAGCTGTATGGTCTCTACTGTACCTACTCAGTACTGCAGAAGCCGCCCCAGGCAGCATGTAGAAGAACAGGCATAGCTCCCCATTTATAGTCCCCATAGAACTGTTTTCCAAAAATGGGGCGGGTGGATTTGGTCTACAGATGATAGGTTCCTGATCTCTACTCTATGTAGTTGCCCCAGCTAGAAATGTAAAAGGTATCCTTCAAGCACGGTCAGGTAATCCCTGATATTCTAGCTCAGAGTACCCTAATGGTCCCCCAGCCATGTTATTCTCTAGCCTCCCTGTAGTCTCCCTGCCTCCAGCCTTACTTCCCTTGAAGCCCTTCTCTCCACAGCAACCAGGGAAATCATCTCAAATGCAAATCTAATTCTGACCATATACCTCTTGGCTGCAAAAGCGTCAATTTTTTTTAAAGGTTTATTTATGCATTACAGAACTGGGGTACAGGCCAGAGGTGCAGGAGTGGTGAGAGGCTTCACCAGAGACAGAGTGGAGAGCGGAACAGGCTGACTGACAAAGTACACTGCTGAGGGGAGCAGTGGGCAGGTCAGGAGAGGTCTGCCGTGCCATGTGGTCACCTCCAGGGCAGGAATCAAACTCATGCTGAAGTGGCTTTAGCTTCTTAGTGCTGTGCTTTAACCTGCTGCGCCACCAGGGAGGGCCCAAAAATGTCAAGGTCTTATCTCACCATTATGAGTTGTTTGAATAACAGTGTCCCAGTTTTTAATGACAGGAAATTATATTCATTTTGTCCACCTGGCAATCCTTCTTTATATAAAGACAAGCACAGGGTGGATCTTAACAACTGTCTATTTAATAGCAGTTGTCTCATTTTTTTTTTTAAGTACATCCTTATGTGCTTTGGAATTTTAACTGCAGAAGTTTATAATCTACAGGTTCAAAATGTCCTCAGAGGGCCCTCCCTGGTAAGGCAGTGGGTTAGGATGCAGCAGTGCAAGCTGGCCACAGCTGCTTCAGTGCAAGTTCAATCCCTAGCCCCAGAGGTGGTCCACATGGCGCGGCAGACCTCTCCTGACCCGCCTGCTGCTCCCCTCAGCAGTGAATCTCACTGAACTGCTTGTTCTGCTCCCCACTCTGTTTCTGGTGATGCCTTTCATTGCCCCTGTGTCTCTGGCTTGTACCGCAGTTCTGCATGAATAAGTAAATAAATCTTAAAAAAAAAAAGTCCTCAGAGCCCTTCCTCCCCCTTGACATAGGCACCTTTCTCCATGGAACCTCTGTCCTTTGAACTAAAATCTTTCTCCTTCCATCTTCTCTGTTCTCTGTGTTCTTTCTTCTTTTTTCTCTTCAACCAGCTATCACACAGGCTGTCCGTGTATTATGACCATTAAAGGATTAGACCAGTGTTTTTCCAATAGAGTTTTCTGGATGATGGAAATGGTCCATGTCTGCACCAGAAACCACAAAGTCAGGTTCAAATTAAGCAATTGAAATGTGGTTAGTGTGACTAAGGAGCTGAATGTGTAATGTGCTTGATGTTACTTAGATTGCATTAATACATAAATAACCACAGATCATGTTTGATCAGAGCTGAGGGTTGGTATCCTAGTTCTATGACGTATAAGCTCTGCGACCTTGGCAAATTACTGACCTCTTCTCAGCCTCACCTTAAAACCAGAAAAAAAACTTAATACAAGGAGATGTACAAAGGGTGCAAGTGTATGAACATCTGGTAGTGACTTAAATCACTATTGTTACATCTCTGTTTTTCAATTTAAGACAATGGCCATTGCTTTTCACTTACATGTAGCATTG